TATTGACAGGCATATTAGACACTCAGAAAATGTACTACACAAAGACATTTTGAATGCACTCCGAAGAAACGAATCTGGATTCAAGAATAAATGGAAAAATCACAACACTATCAGCTACAAAAGAAATCTTAGTGCATTTCAAAGACTCAGTCCTCCAGATTGTACTTTTCAAATAGTCCCATTGAAATAAGACTTTGTGATAAAAGGGTATTGTGTATACGCGAGTATAAGCCGACCCGCCGTCCGCCGAGGCACCTAATTTCCCCACAAAAACTGCATTAAAAATGTGCTAAAGAAAAGCTCAGCTTATACACGAGTATATACAGTAATTGCAAATAGATTTTTAATGGAAATTAGGGTAAACAAAGCAATGAACACTGCTGAATGATTGATGGATTGAAGAAAATGAATGCCAACGAAAAGCCTGCAAGTGAAATTGTGACGGGTACACCAGAGCTCCCAGTTTTGAATAAATTAATTAGAAAACAGTCATTTGAAAATGGGACTATGACAATATTAGGTACAGCTAGTCATTTCAAACAACTTTATGGTACTGGAGAGTTAATTTAAAAAAATTACATCTTGATAGTGCTGGAAAAGTAAAGTGGGTTTGAAACATTTTGTGGGCACATTTCATTAAAAGGCTGTTATTTATGTCAGAGTTAATGGTCTGCTGTATTTAAAAATTTCCTATTTTTCTTGAAAATTCAAGTGGTAAAAGGGGAGACTGAAATCTGTACTGCCAGAGTGTGACTATCCCTTTCCTGACCGAAGAGACTTTGGTTCAATTATCCCTGCTCCTGTGTCAATCCCCCACCAAGACACTTGAATCATTCTGACCAATATGCAAACATGCTCTATTATTATTACCCACATATCATCTTTTGACCCTGACCTTCTGCAGACACTGTTCTTACTTCCTATTCTTTACTCAGGAACGTGAACCTAACTTCCTGTATGACTTCCTTTATGGGAAATCCAGGATACGTAAGCCAGAGACAGTAACTAGGTTAATAATTCCCTAGGGATATGGGGCTAATAGGGACCTCATAGTTAATGGGTACAAAAACTGGGAGAGAAATGTTCTAAAATTGATTGCAGTGATGACTGTACACCTCTTAAGATATTTAAACCACTGAATTGTATGGCATGTGAATTACATGTCACTAAAACTGTTAATATAAAGTTCTTCCAACAGGGAAAAAAAACCTAACCCAACAGTGTACCTCAGCGGTCTCTGTGGCCCATCTCCACTTTCTTCAAGGGAACAGATATTCCACCCCCAGGGCTCCGCTCAAAATGCTAATTAACATCAGCAAACACTTCTAGCTTACTAAATCCAAGGGCCAGTCTTTGTTCTCATTTTATTTAACTTCTCAGGATTGTGAATCGCTCCTTTTGAAATGCCTAGCTCCTGTGATACCACTCTATTCACAAACTCCTGGGGGAGTTTCTTTTTCTGACTCTGCCTCTTCTGGTAAGCAGAGGCCCAAACAATTGTTCAGTAAGCACAGGCCCCATCCTATGTATCTTTCCCTCCCAAACCCCATTCGAATTCGTGGGCAAACTTTTTGGCTATGTAGATTCTGAGCACTTCTCACAATCCTAGTTCACTTCACTCACAAATGTGCAATAGATTTGGCTCTTGCAACACACTCACACAATAGCCAGTGGCCTTTGAATAAGTGATCAGAATGTAAATTCCCTGGGGGTGCTCCCACAATTGCTCCAAAACTATACAACTCCACACAATCTAGTTCCTGGCTTCTACTTCATGACTTCGCTCAAATTTGATACACCCGATCCAGCTCCCTTTGCCTGCAAAGGATTTTCTTCTTGTAGATTTTCTACAAGGCCCACCCCTCCTCATTCACAGGTGAAATCAGCGTTCACATTCTGAACATTATTTTGGGGTATATAATGAAGTCCTCTAAATTGTATCTTGATGTTGCAACCCGAAGTGGCTAATTTTGAAACCCCTTAACAAGGATTTGAGAAAATCCATTTCTTCTCTCACTTCTCTCCTTGGCTTAATGTCGTAAATGGAAATGTTGCATTTTATAAGGGAGGAAAGCCCTAGGAGACATCTGCTCACGCTGCTCCAGGGCAGATCACTAATGATTCAGGAGAGACCAACAGCAGAACCCGGTTTCCAGTAGTTTCCTTCCAGTAGTTTCCTTAAGTACATTTAAAGTACTCAAAATCTTCAAGGCATACCTTTCTGAATTACTGACGCATAGGTTATACTGTTAGATCCACTGTGTACAATGCAACTGTTATTTACACAGTGGTTAGTTCTTAAGAGGTAAAATGTAACTCAAATATTATGGCTAAAAAAGGCACACTTCCAGATGAATAACAAGATCCTTGAGTACATAGGTTTTATATAATCTGTAACCCATTCTATACATGATTAACCAATTTCAATGAATAACGTGTGGGAGTTCAGATTCCAGACGGCCTCTGCTACATTCCCACTTATTTCTTATCTAGTTAGCACAAGCTCCAGGACCTTGTCAATGACATTAGCATACAGACAAAATTAAGAAAACTCAAAATGCAACCAATTATAAAACTTTGCAGTATCAGTTTTACTTTATCCTTATCAATGTCCTATCTCTTGTTAAGTACAACTGAATAGCTTAATTTTGATGATCCCCAAAGTGTTACTCAAAATAGATAAACATGTAGCATTGTATTACTAAAGTAGAAGGGGCCAGGCAGACATTTTAATTAAAATTAGATGTTTAACATTCATCATTACTATGCTAATAACAAAGTAGCAAGATTTTTTGACTTCATGGAATAATTAAAACTACTAGAGGTTAGATCTAACCAGTTAAATTTCATAGTTAATGTCCAACAAAACCATCTTTAGCAATTGATTTTAAAAGGACCTAATTTCAGCATTTAAGAAACTGTCGATTCCCTACGTTTTTATTCCTGTAAAATTCCCAAAATTGTACCCTTTCAAATCTCACGTAGTGATTCAGATGGAAGTAAATGAAATCCGATTGTCTGGTGAGCCTGTCGGTAAAGGTTCCATCCACCTCGGGGGAGAGACTCAAAGGTCATACTTGAGTTAAACAGAACCCGATAGGTAGGCTTTCATCGTGGGCGGCGTCAAGTTGATTCCGACTACACTGCACGGCTTTCCGAGGCTGGACTCTTTACGGGAACACTTTGCCAGGTCTTTTCTGTGAAGCAGCTGGTGAGTTCTGCCAATCTTTCAGTTAGCAGTTAACCATTGTGCTACCTTAGCTTACATTAAGGGGGTTCAAATTTCTAATTAAAATTGTACCCAAAATAAACATAAGATTCTAACAGAAAACAAAACAGTAAAGCAGAGACATTCAACAAAAACAAATACAACTGTCACACACAAAAAAATGAGGAGAAAACTATTTTGGTCACACAAATGAAGAGCCAAGGCCTCTTGAACCTCAAGATCTGACACCCATTCTCTTATTCTGAGTACCTGGAAATGTATTAACACTTTGAAATACATTTAAAGGTCAATTCCTTCATTATTTTCTATCAATTATCTATTCAACGTGGCATATATCTTTTAAAATACTAGATATATTTTTCTAGTCATATACCTCTACAAAGAAATGACACTGCGTTAGTAGAGTTACATACGCTTAAGTATCACTTTAAAACTGAATGAAAATGTCTCAGGTTTATTTAAAATAGCAACTATAAGGATCACAATAAACAAAAGATCATGATAAACAAACAACCTTGGTAAATAATGGATCTGACCCACTCAAAAGAGGTAAGAGGAATCCACTAACCAGTGGTTCTCAACCTACCTACTGTGGCGACCCTTTATAATACAATTTCTGTGTTATGTTGACCCAAGTATAAAACGATTTTTGTTGTTACTTCATAACTGTAATTTTGCTAGTTATTAATGGGGCGACCCCTGTGGAAAGGTCATTCGACCCCCAAAGGGGTGGCGACCCATAGGTCGCAAACACCTTTGTCTTAAGGACTGATCTAATTCATGTTTTAGATCAACATAGTCTGTTCCGTATGCTGATTGTATGCCCTCACTCCAATCCCAAAAGAACTGTATTTGCCAGTTCTCTTTAACACAAAAATCCTAACGATTATTAAGAAGAATAGGTTTCTTTTCTACTGTCACATATCGTAGATATCAAGAATAGCTACTTTTCTGTCTCAGACAAATTTTACTGTAAAGTAACAAGGAATACGGTGCCACCAAAGTAGCCTCATTAACTACATTCGCCATGTGAAACCAACTTCTCAGAAGTCTTAAGAAGATGCACTAGTAACCTTGTTCATTATGACTTGGAAAGGGTTCAGGTCATGAAAGCAAGACTTAAGTGTACACAAGCAATCACATACACAACATGATGGGGGCTTCCAAAATGAGACAAATAATGGAAGTTTTCCCACCAACTTTTTGAAGTCCCATCGTATACGCCTGTTAAGAATTTGCCATTCAGTTTTCCACTTCACTTGAATTTTACTTTGATAAGCCATTGCTGAGTCAAATTTCAACCCTACCTGAATCAATGCACAGAAGTGCACACGTGCATGCACATGCACACCCTCCAAGTGGGAAGATGCCTTAGTCTGACTGTTAAAGAGCCTGTTTCCATGAACAGACATGGCAAATGAATGAAAAACCCAAACCAAAAACCCTGTATTTGGGGAATAGGATATTGCACAAAAACCCTCTGTTGACATACACACAAATACAAGTAAATAGAAATTATGGTATAGCTAGACACTGTTAGATGTAGCTCAATCTTCCACAGAACACCAAGTACACACTTTCCCTGTAACGCCTGGAAGGTGCATTCCTGCGCACAGCCAAGATACCTCAGGGAGCTCGGCACTGTCGGGTTGGAAGGCCAGAGCTGAACTGCACCATTCAGATTCCCTGCCTTCTAATCCCATCAACTCAAAGTCGGCAGGATTTGCTTCCCATGTCACCACATGCATACATATTTAAATATAGGCACAGATACTTGTCATTTTTATTTGAGTAACAAAGTCTCCAAGTTATACTGAAAAATAAATCCTAATATCACTCCTGTAAAAAAAATTAGCACACTTTTCACAAATGATTTATGTAAAACAAGAAAATACACATACTTTTATATCTCACTTTTTTATTCCCTACCCGACATTGTGTCTTTCACTTTCATTTTTCTACAATTTTCAACATGTACCTGTATTTAATACTGCCTTAATCTGCTAAAGACATTAACTGATTACTTTCCTAAATCTAAGGGTTATATACTTTTAGTATAAATATATATCACATTTTCGTAAAATTTTGACAAAACCAAATAAGCATGCCTTATTTTAAGTCCATGCTCTTCCCACTGCTTATAAAATCTAATTTAATGGTCAAAAATTCTTGGTTTGCACCCTTCAATTACCAGTCTTCTCTGTAACTGCCACTCACTTTTTACATAATAACGAGCAAATAGAAAAACCAAAAGAATTCTCTTAATCTTCTTTCCATTTTGATGGCTATAAAATAATGACCTTTTAAAAATGAAACAAACATATCCAAATCTCAATACATTCAAATGAGCTGAGTGTCTTTAAGGAAGGTCACAGTCCATTCTTTTAACGAGGGCACCACTGCGAGGCGGATTACCTTCCCCACTCTTTTGGAATTGCCGTCAGAGCTGGCTGCACTTCTACGATTGCCTCACGTACAGATTTAATTTTTAGAAACTGCAATCGGTCATTGGTGGCGAACAATGTTGCCTAAGTACAATCAAGACTGGATGCCTGGCAATACTTTTGCTTTTTATGTGATCATAAAGTCAATAGTACATATGATTCAGATTAGCTCTGAATGCAATTCTAAAAGAAGGAAATCCAAAGGTTGTGGGCAGTGGTAGATTGCTGGAGTTACACTTAACTTTCCAGCATGATCAGTACACAGAATAACATTCATTTAGCTGTCTACGTTCTCAAATATTTGTTTATATGAATATTCTGGTAGTTAGAATTTAATCCTTTAAAAAGGAATACCATTCTTCAAAAAAAAAAAAGGAAAAAAAGATTCCTTTAAAGCGTCACTATCAAAGTCAACACTATGCAAATGTTTTGTTAGAAACTAGTTCTCCTTGATCAAGAAAGGCTATTTAGAAAAACCTAAAAGCAAACAAGCAACTTATCTGCCCTCAGGTTTTTTTCCCTCCTTTTAAAATCATCAACAGAAGATAAAATAACTTGAAATTTCTAAGGTACTAAAAACAAAACAAGCCCAATGTAATAAAAACACATCAAGAACCAAACTACAATTTCTGAGCTGCACTGTTTATTTCGCTGCTTGAAACCTAAGTGACAGTATGCCACTATAATTACGGGGTTTCGTCTAAACCTTTACTACACTGCAGGTACAGAAATATGTGGACACATTTTTGGAGAATTGACATTTTGCAAAATGCAGCAGACATTTTAATTTATACATGAGAAAAGGAAGTGTTCAAAAGGGTATGCATTTCAAGTTATTGCAGGTTATCTGTGAGAGAATTTCTGCAGGTAAAACATGTTTTAATTTAACCAACAGTAGCGTGTCAGTGTATTTAAAATCATGACAAAAATCTTCTCTCTGGTCATGTTGCCCACGACAAATTACTATGATGTTGAATGTTTAGGGCAAGATGTCAATACAGCATAAATCCCATGGCATTTTGGTTTTCTTCTGGAGATTAAAGCTGTTTTTCTTGGGATAAATGCAGCAGCAAAACACAAACCAGTTGATCAAAAAAGCACTTCTGCCATAACTCCAATAATTTTCAGGACACATCAACCGACAGTCGTTTTGCCATTCCCAGTTTTTAAGGATTACATCTCTGCACTGTTGCCTTAAGTACGTCTGTAAAAGCTTGCTCTCCGTTAAGCCAGTTTACTGACTACAGCCTGGTTGAGTGAATTTAGTTGGTTGGTCCATTTATCTAATGCCGTATATCGTGCACCACCCCTCTTCTGATGGTCCAGTTCCAGGAGCTGGTTGACTTGATCAATTCGGCCATGAATAGTGCTGCAAGTAAAGAGAGAAGGCGTGTCTATACTTCACATTCACTCAGCAGATCTTCTGGACCAGTTCTTTAAAAATATTTACAATAATCCAAAATGTCAGTAAATGCAAAAGAAAAAGCTGCTGTCTACACAAATGAATGAGTTCAGTGCTACTTAGAACATTTAAACACTGGGCAAAAACCAGATTTCAACTACCTCTCATCAGTTTCATTAAAAGAATTGGTAAAGACCTACCAACTATCAAGAGCAAAGGCTATTTGTGAAGTTTTTAGAAATAATGTAGTACTTTTAAGAATGATGTAATTGTGCAAGTGTTGTGTATCTAAAAACATAAACAGCACCCATTAAATACTTCTCTAGTTGTATTATGAATCATACACTGAATGACCCATACACTGAGGAAATCTCCATTAAAAAAATCCATTTCAAGCTTTTTCAGAGATGTTTCACATGACCACCCAACTATTGAATACCATTACATACACATACCGCTATCTTATAAGTGCTTTTCATGAACAATCAAGAATTCAAATGCCCCCTTCCTAAGTTTTAATCAAAATATGCTCTCAAACATTTGTGATATAAAAAAAAAGACAAAGTACTTACTTATCCAATATACACTGCACCAGCAAGCTCTCCACGTCAGCTACATCTATGTTTAACTCCTAAGATAAAAGACCCAATATATATAATTTGAGTATATGACATTTTAAGCAGTTCACGATTTTATGTAATTCTTCTGATTTTAAGGTCACTTTCATCACTTAAAAGCAAAACCAGTGAAGAGTTTTTAAACAAGTTCAGTAACACTTTGTAATGACATAAGTACGCTAAATTTATAACTACAAATTATGAATATCATTAAAATGCAATAATATAAATACCTTAGAAATAAAAGGAATATGTATTCTTGTGTAAGGCTTTATTAATTTTATGAGCACTTGTGTTCTGATGTTTCTCAAAAGCTCTGGAAAAAAAGATAAAAAGGAAAATAACACCTGCAGCTTAACATTATGATGTCTTGTACTTCTAAATTATATTCATCAACATCAACTACATTACTATTTATCATCTCAAAGTATATCCTCCTGATTGGCACAGACAAAGGTGTTTCGATCTAAAAACATTCGGGTCTAAAAGAAGTACAGCATGAGCAGAAGCTGTGGCTCCTGTACATTTTTCTTGCTCCCACTTTGCTGACTTGACTCATGCCATGACTCTACCAACAGACCCCGCTGCCCTCTCAATAGTAACACACTCCCCACAGGCCTGTCCATCTTTTAAGGGGCTCTGCTTCACATCAGCGGACTTTCTTCTTCATGCCCTCGCAGTATACCGTCCTCTTATAATACTTCCCCTGACAGGTTTCATCACACAAAAACATTTTCTTAACTAGATTGAATTTAAGGACACGGCTTCTCTGCCCTTTTCTGTATCCACACAATGCAACACAAACTTACAATCCTAGGTTCATGTGGGAACCTTAAAATATCTGTTAAATGAGAGAGGAAGGTGGGGAGAAACAGATAATTATTTCTGAAATATTCTTTGGATCTTCTTGATGTATATGGAACTTATGTATTTGCACACATTGTCTCCACATGCAAACAACGAGTCACACAGCCCAAGAGGCGAGGGCACACGGGAATGCAAGAGTGGCCCCAGAGTGAAGGCACGACTAATTTCCTTCCTATAATATCTTTATGAAAGTAAACAGATGCATAATACATTTATTTTGGCAAACCACTCTTCTCACTAGTTTCTTATACATACTATGTGGGCACACACCTTTTAAGTTGGCAAGTTATATGAGAAAATATAGTAATCCAATAGTACACTATTAAAATTCTCATACACTTATTGGGATAAAATCTTCCCAATGTTAGCATACCTTATCATTGCATCTCAGAGCAGCATGTTCTCAAAGCTTTTGTTGCCTGTCAAAAATAAGCCCTAAGAACTAACTTTGAATTTAAGTACCAATAAGTAGGCAAGAATATCTAAATTGGAGTAAAACGTTAAGAAACAAACACCTTACATAAAATGGGCAGCTATTATGACCTTGGTATTAATAGTGTGAAACTGGCAAATGATTTTCTAAAAAAGTCTCACAATTTTAAGGAGTACACAATGCCATGACACCAATAGGACACATGTCTATGCTTTGCAATAAGAAATAAACAAAACTACCACATTAATGCCCTGCAGTTTCATTAATAAACATTGCTTGATTACGGCAAGGATAGTAATAGAATTCATTCCGCCGAAATAACATACCTTCAATGTGTTCTCTTATGAAGGGGTCATCCATTATGTTGCTGTGATTTGTTTTTAGAATCTTTTCAAATTCAGTAATGTCATTATTCTGATAGGCACTAACAGAAAAAGAACAATATTAAAATTTTCAGGTATTAAAATTTCATATTAAATCAGATAAACCAAAGAACCTATTTCCCAAATTTTATATGCAAAAATCTACATTATATCATAGCTTCTCTAATCTATGAGGAAGAAGTCATGGACATCAGAGCACATTCTTTTACAAATACAACAAATTTCTTCTTAATACTTTTGGCTTTTTGTAAGAAAGAATAAACCTTCTAAACAAAACCTTCTTTTGGGTTTATATACCGCATTTATAATTGCTAATTAAACCATCACAAAATCTTAGTTGCATCAAGGCCTGACAATAATTTAGCAACTATTCACTATTTGATGTTTTCAGATTAAATTGTGCATTTAATCAGTAACTGTTCTTAATGGAAAAAAACAAAACAAAACAACAAACCAAACCCAAGTTCATGCAAATCACTGTCTTGATGAGTTTGGCCATATCTGTTCAATACGAAAGTATAATCTCTCTGAAGGGTAGTAAGAAAATGCAGCTTCCTAATTTTTTCCTTCCAGAAAGCCACCAGCAAACTCCCAAAACCTTTCAAAGGGAGTATTTGATTTTCAAATGTATCTAGCCATACAATCCTACTATGTATCCAGTGGAAATATCAGTGGAAGGAAGTTAGTACCAAATGAGGCACTCACAAAGTAGAGATCGATGGAATCCCCTGTTGCAGAAGGCCAAAGGCTGATTTATGTTTACAATTCTCTCAAGTGTCTAATACCTGCTTTGGGGATCAATTCTGTAATACACTACGGGGACTGCTACAGGTGCTGAGAAGGAAGAAGCCAACCTTCTGGACATGGCACCACTGTCTGCTTTATATGTAAGACATATCATCAGCCACTGCACGCCCTCTGCTGTGCTTCCATCTGCTGGGTCGCAATGTAACTTCATGTTAGGGGCAGGTGATTCAAGTGCTCCAACGGGAATTACTTTCCTCTAGTCTGCTGGCAACTGACTAGGAAGATAAAATTAGGATGCATTACTTTCTTACCTACCCCAGATGAGTTACTGTAATTTACTACAGGAGGGTGTATTCAAATAGTGAAAAACATTTTCACGCACATACATTTTAACTAAGACACACTCTTCTAATACATATGGGGTTTTGTTCTCTTTTTAAATCTTAACAAAATTGTGAAATGCCTTTGGGCTCACTTGGTTGGCCCAAATTTGGCATTAAAATATGTCTGAGTTCTAACACAGAGGCCTCCTTGGAGTAGACACTAAGTCTATACAGATCTGGTACTTTTTAAGTTCTAGTAATCGGTCCTCTTACCCAGTTTAAAATAGCTGACCAACTTAACTTAGATAAACCATTAATGTCCAAGGTGACATTTCCTTTAATATTTAAGAGTTTTAAAAGTTTAAACTACTGGTTAGCATTTATCTTTATAATTTTTTAAAGGATTATGAAGTTAATCTTTAACCCAATGTACATGGAATACTCTGAAATGAAGATGGAGAAGGCACCTTTTGTAACTAAAATCAAATGAACAAACATTAAAAGAGCGAAGAATGTATAAAGAATTGCTTCGTTATTATGGCAATTTAGTTTTTATCCCCCATTCCTAATACTCCTAAAACAACTTGATTCCTCTTTTTATAGCTAAATTAATGTCTCCTTAATTACATATAAAAGCCCAATACCTTATCAAAGTCATAGCCAAATAAAGTAGTAGAGGAGTTTTCGATGGTGGGTCCTTCAATAGCTAACTATTATTACCCACACTTTCTTCCACTCAAGCTTTCAACAAACCTATGTGTTTAACCAGTATAAACACTTTCCCCCTACCGAGTGAGACAATTGTCTGGGGTCAACATTTAAACGGTTTATCATTGAGAAAATATAGAATAAAGAAATACATTTATGCAATAATCTTGTCTTACAGAAAAGGCTTGGCTTATGTGGACCAACTGATAATTTCATTTTGGATTAAGACAGATGCAGGCATAAACACTGTGAAATAATGCTTTGAAACACACACACTACATGCTTCATAAAATTGTGTGACAGCACCGGTTAAAAAAATGACCTTAGAAGATGCAACTTTCATAAACTTTATAATATTTAAAACCAACATATATATTTTAAAAAGGGCAAATTCAGAGTACTAAGTAAGTTTAAGTACCTAGTGATGTAGTGGGTCACACGTGGGCTGCTAATCACAAGGTCAGCAGATAAAAATCACCAGTGGCTCTGCAGGAGAAAGAGGCGGCTTTCTGCTCCCCTAGAGCTTTATACTAAGCAAACTGAGAGGCAGCCCTGGCCTGGCCCAGTGGGCCGCAGAGTTGGAATCAACCCCGTGGCAATGAGTGAGAAGAGTGAGTTTTGAAAATTCCTGTCTTTATGAACTGTTTTAAAGAAATAAATACATCTTAACTGAAATACAAAATCTTACCTTACTAAATTTGTCATTGCTAGAATTTCTGGATCATTTTTGTACGGCTTGGCCTAAACATAGTAAAAAAAAAAGTTTAACTATGTATGTATACCAAAAAATTCACTTTTACAAGGCAGCTAAGAGAAACTGATTAAGAGCAAACATACTTCCTGGGAGTCAAATGGATTGATTCCCGATTTCATTAGCATATTTGCCAAGACCAAATATTTTAAGCAAGTAGTTCGTCTGGGACTTCCTGATTCATCATAGTTCTTGAAGGCTTCAAAAAAATCAGTGTGTGCCTTTTCAAATTCACCTTCTCGCAAGTGCATTTTACCTCCACATTCTGTGAATGTGAGAAAAGATAACATTTTCAATTGTTTATAATAAGACTGTCAACTTTACAAAGATCAAATGAAAAGGTTTCAATGGCTTGTAGTCTTTTACTTTTATAACTTGAAGAGTACTGGCAACAGGGTACATACTTTAATTTTAAAATATTCAAGTTCTTTATTAAATACCAATGAAGAAACTACTAAACAAGCAACTGTAAATCACTGATTGCAGATGGAGCAGAAAACAATTATTCTAAATAGCGCCACACTTCAAGGATGTAAGTTCTGATAATGAACTTCTCATTATTACTAATGACACTAAAATAAATTTCATGAGACAAAAAGCATGACTTTAAAAATCCATTTCCATTATTTTAAAAGTTCACTATCAAGTGTTTTCAAGTCATTCAGTGATATGCAATGACAACCTGGCAGCATCCATTTCGTTGCCCACCCTCTTCAAACCAAACTTGCCTCTGATGACTCCCATGATCAGTGGATGAGGGATGGCAGACTTGATGTGAAGTGACTGTTCATAGAGTGCTTTAAGTTTTTTGTTATTTTTCTGTGCTGTATACATTTGAATTTCCAAAGCGTATATTTCTAATAACTGTGTACCTTTTTTCAGGTCATCTTCGCCATCATCAGTCTAGGAAAGCAGATACTCTAATTAAGATAGAACCTAGAGACAATCATATTTAATAAACTAGCACATAGGCAGATATTAACTAAGAAATCATTTTGTTGCAAATAGTTTGTCACTTAAATGGAAATGAAAATATTTAAAAACAAAACCAAATCTAAGTTGGCCCAATAAAAGTTATTAGCCTACAATAAATATAACACTTTTTGAGTTAGCCCAGGAATCTTAAATTTATAATACTATGAGTGAAAATACACTTCATATTTTATACATGACCTAGCACATTACTTATAAGGTCAGAAAGGAAACCAAATATCCTTTCTATGATCCAGTCGACAGACAAGAAAAAGACAGAAGTTATTTTGTATGTATAATATACTGTAACACTTGTCTTTATGAAGAATACTACCTATCTCTCCAGACATTTATTTATTCAATTTTTAAAAAGTATTTTCTAGATGTCATCCACGTGCTGTCTACTTGGGCTTACTTTGGCGTGATTAAAACTTAAAATTAGCCAAGCTTTCTGAACTCCAAAGTTCATAATCGAGTAAATGACCAATGGTCCACGGCAGTACAGGCCAAGAATGGGTAGTTAAGAAACACTTTATATTATGAGTGGTATTTTATAAGGCAAACCATTAAATCTTAGGTGACTGGAATGATTTCCTCAGCAATCTTTTCCCCAGAGAGATTGACAGGTATGTGTTTAAAATCATAGTGCATGTTTTTGGAAAATTTATAAACTATTAACAGTGTTCCTAGTAAGATTTTAACTAATATCTGATCAAGATAAAAAAAACAAATATAAACCACAGCCCACAGTTAAAAAGCTGAGTTGAGCTGTCCAGTCCTTGAAGCTATTTACATTAAATCTGAAACTCAGTTCCTCGTCACAATAGGCATATTCCACGTGTCTGACAGACACACACACATATATGAACAGTTCTATGGAAAGTGTTGAGAGGTGATTCATATTCAAATGACTTAGCTTTATTATACATGCTTAAAATATCTTTGCCAGATTTTCATATGACATATAACTAGATAAGAGAGGCTTACTCTAAATAAGGATCAACTAGTCAGTTAGTGATACCTGCTCAGTTCACAAAAGTTAAGGACTGAAATTAGAATGAAAACAGAATGAAATGGAATATTCAGGGGAAAACCCCCCCTAGTATTTTAAATAGTAACTTATTATTCCACTCTTATTTTTGAGCTAATGCCTATCAGAAACACCCCTAAGCAATATTTCAAACACAATGATTTCTTGGCCTTCTTATGACACACACAATTTGAAGAAAAAGGAAAGAAATGATACCTGGCAGGACTGGTGTAGTTGGCGTAAAATTTTTTGAAGCTTTCCATATTCCTCTCGCTCTAAGTATAATTTTCCAAGCTGGAAGAGAGTACAATTATTAAAATCAGAAGACCTCAGGAGGAGAAGGTAGGCATCTTTAGGAGTTTAGTTTATTAAGCACTCTCCACTCATTCTTCAAAAGAAAAAAAAAAGGGTAATTTGTTACCTTTGTGTTTGTCTTAAACCATAGTCTATCATTCTTAGCATCTTTCAAAGCTTCCAGTGTTGTTTCATAGAATTCCTGCAGTAAATCCATCTGACATAAAAAATCAGAATTCTATAATTGTAAACAGCAAATTTGTACCTGTTAATAAAGTTAATTTGAGCAAACTAAAAGTGCATCTTTGAACTTTAATACACAAATAAGATACACACTATATGTATCATACTGAATGTTTCTACAGTCCATACAAATCAACAAAACTTAAGCATAATATAGGCGAAAACATGTTCCCCATATAAATTAAAGGGCTATAAATTCTATGCTCTGGTTAAGGGCTTCTCCTTCCCAAAGTAGTAGCTTGTTTTTATGTTAACTTAAGTAAGTGTACAAATAGAGGTAGCTATACTGTTATTATTAATAGTGTTTATCTTATCCATTCACCATTCATTTAGCATCTACCATGTAGCAAACAACAAACAAGCTGCTAAACAACGAGGAACTAGCTCCTTCCCTGAACATTCTTCTACAAATGTAACTGATCAGTGAACTGGACCAATTTTTAAGTGCTGGTATGCTGCTGCACTGTGATGAAGGGGAGCGAAGAGCTCAGCTTTAGTTGTCTCAAACAGAGCCCTGGCGACCTAATTACAAAACGAGTTGCTATCTGTAAGATCTGCATTTTAAACCACAAGCCACTCTGGGGGTGAAAGATGAGGCTTCCCCGTCCAGTGAAGATTTCCAGGCAGTAGTGCTTTGTCCTGACAGGGTTGCTATGAGCTAGAATCCACGCACTGGCACTAGACTTATAGGTGGTGGTGGTGGTTTCTTGTTACCAACTTGCCAAGCTGAGGAACAGTTTTTCACCAAAATCACCCTCTGTGCTGTTTTATGACGCTGCTCCCAAGACTCCCTCTACAGCCCAGGCTCTGGCTTTGCTTGACTACCTTATTCTACACATCTCCACCTCCTGAAACCAGAGGCAAGAGGGCTCCAACCCAGGAAAGTCTGACACGTTCGGGAAAGGCTGCCTATTTACTCTTAACTGCTGATGGCACATTGATTAAGTCCACTTTCAAACCACCCCAAAAAACTTATGTAATATAACTTACAGAATCTACAATCTTTTTTTTTGCTCCTGGTTCTTCTTTATTATTATTACTTTTTAATCATTTTATTAGGGGCTCATACAACTCTTATCACAATCCACACATACATCAATTGTGTCAAGCACATTTGCACATATGTTGCCATCGTCAATCTCAAAACACCCGCTTTCTACTTGAGCCCTTGGTATCAGCTCATTCCCGCCCCTCCCTTCTCACTCCCTCCCAACCCTTAATAATTTATAAATTATTATTATTTTGTCGAGCATCTGCAAATTTTTAAAATCACTTACTTATATAACCACTTAACCACTAGCATAACATTTAAAATTTTGGTATAGAACCAAAAATGTTCTATAACACTTGTTTGTAAATTTTGAAAACATTCTCACATTAAAAAGAAGAAAAAGATCTCCATGATATATAGTTCCAGATTTAGAGTCATTAGGTGGTATGTTCTAACTGCATATGTAGATTTAGCTTCTTCTATTTCCATTATAGATTCTATATATAAAGAACCAATTTACTTACTGCTTCAATAAATAAAAATGTTATCGAGTAGAAACAAGAATAAAAGAGGCCAGTAAGATGAACATTTTTATTAATGAGTATAAAAAGTATTAAATGCTCTGCCAAGTGTTACAGAGAATGTTTGCATTCAAGTATCATAAAGTAAGAAAGTTGAACCTTAGGGCTATGTTGCTGAAAATACGAACAAATAATCGAATTAAAAACAATCTGAAGAAAAATTTCAATATCAATAAAAATAATCATTGCTTTCCTTAATAACAAAACTCTAAAAGAATGAAAACATCATTTCCCCAGCACCAATTTTAGTTTTACTATCCATTCTTCCTTTTATTTATCTCTCTTCTCTAAAAGCATTTATTAAGCACTGAATCATTAATGCTTTCCACTGTAAGCACTGTAATGACTCAGGCGGCTTGCAAACGTAGAGACCGTGCCTGATTTTGCCTAGGCTGCGCGCTATAGCACAAGACTTAACAATTGCCATGGAGGAGCTGGGTTTGGGGTTTTTCATTTACTGAAAAGGGGCAATAGGCTAAATAAATTGGGGACCTAAACCTAAAGAGTAAAGCAAAGAACTGAATCGCCTCAGGCTCTTAATCTAATCAAATTTATAAATGAAGTACGATTCACAGTGTTAAGTATTTAGCGACTCAGAATGGAAGTGATGATGGAGTTTATTACAGGGAACTATGATAGTAGCTATGTAAAATTCTAATATAAACTTGCAAAAATTGTCTGATTATTTCAGCATCGGAATTTATTTAAGAGTAAATTTGGAATTAATACTTTACAAATACCATATAATTAGTATTAAAACTAATGGATATTTTCTTAAAGCACATGAACAAAAGGGCACTCAGGATAAGTAACAAAACATATTGATAGGCACCAAGAGGAAAAAAGAGGAGTCTAACCTGTTTAGAAGTGGAGATATAATCAAGGATAGAATTAATAGATTTTTCAGAATAATTTCTTGTGACTGCACTCCGAATATAGGTCAATAGTTGTTTATATCTGTTCATCATTTCTGGAAAATTTGTCTGCAAGAAAAAAAATAGAATGTCTTAAAAAATCCATTAGACTTATTCTCAACCTCTATAAAGCACATAAACATTTAAAATTCAAGGGGCATACAATATAATAGTAAATGGGTGCTACTTTGTGGGATGCATTAAAATATTACTACAATTATCGCATTATGTTAAAGATGCTTCAAAGTATCTGAAAGGGTTTCTTTAATGTTTTTTATACATAAATAAGTATACTATATATGACATTTGAATGATGGTAGATCCAAACCATATCTAACTATTCTGATTTATGTGCCCACTCAATTTAAGGGCAGATTTAGAAACTGACCTTATTTCTGTGTATATGATATGATATTTGCACCATGGTTAAATAAAAAAAAATTTTATTGGGAGCTCTTACAGATATCTCATCAAGCAGTATTGTACAACTGCTCCCACAATTTCAAAACATTTTCTTTCTTCTTGAACTCCTTGATTTCAACTCCCCTTTATTCCCTCCCTCCCCGACCATACACCCCCACTTTTTTTGGCTATATCTTACATAACCTACCATATCCTTCACATACAATTCTGTAGTTCGATCCAATCAATTTGGGCTACATAGTCATCAATGCTATCAGCTCCCAATTTCCCCCATCCCTGTACCCTCAGGAAACCATTACTCCTGTTACTGTTTCTGAAGTGTTTATCTATCTTGACTTTCATGTACAGAGCGATCTTAAATATACAAAATGAACACACACAAATCTAACATGATTGAGGTAAAACAAATAAAAACCGTAACAGAGGAACTATTAAAAGAACTAGAGGACAGTCATGTGGTTCATTGGTGCCATGCGGCACCCTGGATTTATCATCCCTCTGAGAGGGGCTGTCCAATTATCTCACAGGTGGGGTTTGGGTCTCCATGACAACTACGCTCCTTCACTTTGATTTGGTTGCTTGTTTTTGAACTTCTGATACCTTTTTCTGTCGACACCTCAACATCACACAGGCTGGTGTGCTTCTTCCATTGGGCTTTGTTGCTTCCCTGCTAGATGGCTGCTTTTTTATCTATAAGCCTTTAAGACCCCACATGCTATATCTTTTAATAGCTGGGCACCATCAGCTTTCTTCACATTTGTTTATGCACCCATTTTGTCTTCAGCGATCGTGTCAGGAAGGTGAGTATCCTACAGTGACTATGGCCAGATTTTATAAAGTTCTATTTCATTTAAAGTATCGTGAACATTAAGCTACACATTCTGTATTGGTACAGAATTAAGAAATAACAAAATTTTATAATAGAAGAAATATATATGTACAACACTAGAAATATTTTATGTTGAAGTTGAAGTAGATATCAGACATATGAACCAAATATACTTAGTCTATTAAAAAAATACAACTTACAGATATTCCAAATTTCTGAAACTGCTCCTCACATTTAAATAATAAAAAGATATTAACAGGCTAAGATATATAAAATCAAAGTGATTGGTATTAATCAAAAAACCCCCAACTTTTAAAATACCTTAAAGAACAAGTTACACAGATTTGCCATTCCCTAAAGGTTTATCCTTTTTAGCAGGAAGCTCTACTACAATTTTTCTCCCTCACTGGCTGCTTGACATAAAAAATTGAAATGCAAGAATCTCTGAAAGCCCAGTTACTAATCAGATCAAGAAAAGGCCTTCAAGCTAATGTGCTTTTTAATGTTGTTTTTGTTAGATGCTGAATGGGTTTTGACTCATAGCATCCCAGAAACATTACGCTGTCTTGCATCATCTGCACAACGCTTGCTTCTTGAAAAGAGCCCATTATAGTAACCATTGGCTCAATTCATCTCATTGGGAATGGTGATGGGGTGGGAGTGGGGGGGGGGGGTAGTCTCTTTTTTAGGCTGATCCTCTGTCAAGTACAATGTCCTTTTGCAGGGACTGGTCTGTCTTTGTAACATGTCCAAACTATGTGAGATGAACTCTCACTAGCCTCATTTCCAAGAAGCACTCTGGCTGTAATTTTCCAACACACATTTGTTCTCTCTCCTGATAGTCCATATTCTTCGCCACACCATAATTGAAATGCATAAATTCTTCTTTGGTCTTTATTCATTTCAGCTTTTCTGTACACAAGAAGTATCTGAAAAGAGCATGGAGTCTCAGTGGCACGGTGGTTAGGTGTTGGGCTGTGGCCTGCAAGGTCAGCAGTTCGAAACCACCAGCTGATCTGCAGGATAAAGATGGGACTTTTTACTCCTATTAACAGTTAGTCTTGGAAACTCAGAGGCAGTTCTACCCTGTCCTACAGGGTCACTTGAGTCAGCACTGACTCAACAGCAGTCGAGTTTTACGGTCAAGCACACCAGATTCTTCACAGTGACATCTTTGCTTGATAACAGTTTAAAGAGGCAGCTCTACCCCAATCAGCACATCATTTGATTTCTTGACTACTGCCTCCACAAATACCAACTGCGGATCAAGTGAAATGAAAACCTGGACAACTTCAACCTTTTCTGTTTATCATGGTGCTGTTTACTGGTCCAGTTGTGAGGATTTCTCTTTTTTCTATGTTGAGGATTACTCCTTACCAAATTCTTTGGTCATTAATAAGTGTTTTAAATCTACTTCCATCAAGTAAGTTTGTGTCATCTGCATGTCACAGGTTACTAAGTTTTTAATTCTGATGGCACTTCTTCATACAGTCCAGTTTCAACTGATTTGCTCTTCAAATAGACTGAATTAGTCACAGACTACAACCCTGATATATCCCCCCCCCCACCATACCTTTTGTGGTAGTTACATAATCTGGTGTCAACTTGAGATTATTTAAGAGTGAATGGGTGGAGTTTAGCCGTCAATCAGGTTGCAGCTTGATGACCTCATTTGAAGGCCCTATGGAAATAAATGGCTCACTGGAAGCCAGACCCACATTCACTCTCTGCTTCGTCTTCCTGCTGACAAGACAGATGGAGCGACACTGATAGAGCCAGAGCCCTGGAGCTGGAGGAGCCATGTGGAGACCCACGCCAGTGCTGAGATAATTCCACTGCCACTGGATCCACAAGACTTTCCACCCACTGGCCTGTGATCTTCCTGCACTTGGGCGTCACTGCATGTGTTATGTGAGTCTGAAGAGGAATTTATAGACTGGTATTGGACATAGGGGCTAATATCGGACTTAAGGGCTTGATCATGACTGGGCTGGGATGTTTTCTTAATATACAATTGCTCTTTGATGTACAGATCTCTCTTAAACACAAGTGTCCCTGGACTTGTTTCTCTAGTCAACACTACTAATAAACCTTTCTAGACTCGAAACCAGGTAGTATCACTTTGTTCTATTCAAATGATACCTCTTAGTCTATGTACAAGTTTTGAGTGAGAATAACACGGAATTCCCATTCTTTGCAATGTAATCCATAGTTTATGATTCAAACAGTCAATTCCGTTGCATAGTCAACGAACAGGGAAACATCTTTCTGGTATTCCCTGCTTTCTGCCAGGAGTCACCTGATATTAGCACCTGATATTGGTCCCCTTTTGAACCGCCTTGAATATTTGGTAGTTCCCTTTTAGTTATCTTTAGCAACATTTTACCTGCACATATGAATGACACTGCTTGAACATGTCTACACTGGTTCACTATTTTTGCAATACAAAAATGGATCTCTTCTAGTTGGTTGGCCAGGTAGCATACTTCCAAATTTCTTGGCATAGATAAGTAAGCACCTTTAAGGCTGCATCCATTTGTTGAAATATTTCAACTGATAGTCCGCTAATTCCTAGTCTTGTTTTCATCAGTTTGGACTTCTTCCTATAACACCATCAGTTCTTGATCAGATGTCTTGAAATGGACCAACACTGACCAATTCTTTTTGGTAGAGTGGATGTTTATTCCGTACATCTTCTTTTGATGCTTCCTGCCGTGTTCATTCTTTGTCTTGAAGGCTAACTTTTGTCCTCCGTGTTGAGTGTAGTCTTTCTTTTTTGGTCTTCTCACTCCAGCTTGCTGTACCTTTCACTCTAGTACCCCGTCTTCCTGAGAGGCCCTTTAATTTTTCTGGTTTTATCTGCAGTGACGAGCACATCAAATCGTTGGTAACAAACTCATCTTTTTACTGCCCAAAACCCAAGACTACAGCAATATGGGCCTACTATGAATCCAACCAAAAAAGAAAGGAGCGTGGAAAGGCAGGGATAGAACCTGCACGAAGGCAGACCATAAGATAACCCGTTTCCTTTCTCACTTCCCATCATGGCCGCTGAAGTCTCAAATGTATCATATTGTTTAAATGAGTCAAAATACAAAACCACCGTTAGCTTGTTAAGACAGCAGATTTCCACAGAGCTTGTCATTATTTCAATTCACAGTTAAAAGCTGAGTATTTTAATCACTAACTATTTTAATTAAAATCTCTGTCCCTTGAGACTGGATTTCATACTTCCTGAGAGCTTCTAAAAATCATTGCAGGGATTATTTGTGTGTTCATGCAAACAGTAAATGGGAAGGAAGCACAGAGGATCTTGGTGTACTAACGGGATGTTCTGAGAGTACCACAGGAGAACTAGAGGGTAACTGCAAAATAAGTACTGTTCCTTCTTTAACTAGAGTCAAATGTTAATATACAATGCACTTCATAATACTTAACAGGCTTGGATAGTCCTCCTATTTGGAGGGTAGAAATGAGCTAAATTAAATGTGGATCATGTTGACAAAAACCAAGGGGAATATCTCACTAGAGTGAGAGCACATCAAAACAGTGTGATGCTTTTACGTTTTGTTTGGATTTTCTGTGATGATGTCCAGGAAAGGCAAACCCCTAGAGACAGTACGTGGATTAATAATCACCTAGCGGCAGGGCCGGGGAGAATAAGGAAAACGGGGAGCTAACACGAGTACGAGAAGAAAATGTTCTGAAACGGATGATCACACAATTCTTCACGATTGACCAATTAAATTGTATGATATGTGAAGTATATGCCAATAAAACTATTTTTAAAAAGAACAGTAGGATGTAAGATTATAAACCAACTGCCATCAAGTCAATTCTGACCCATAGTGACTACAGGTCAGAGCAGAACTGTTCCTTAAGGTTTCTGAGGCTGTAATCTTGGCAGGAGCAAAGAGTAATCTTTCTCCAGCAGAGTAGCCCAACCTTGAACCCACTACGAGACCAAAGCTCTACTCGGGAAGCAAGAGGAGTGAAAGTGAGCTGGATAAAGACACTAGTCAATTCAAGGAATTCATTTCATGATGGGATTGAGGTGCTAATGGGGAAAGAGAAGACACATGTGGGAAATAAACAAGGAAAAGAAGGTGGTAACCAACCACCAGGTATCCTTCTTGCTTCATCTCCTGAACCATACGCAGAGCTCCACTCTGCTCTTCTAAGCTCCATTGTCCCTCAAAAATCTCTTTACTCTTGGTGATCGAAAATGCACATTTACAAGGAAACAATGTAAAAGGTGACATTTTCCCATGACTTTTAGAAGCCCCGTCATAGTCCTCGACTCATCTCCTGTTTCTTTTACCACTTCTACCTTGTAGTCTTACATTGGTTTGATCAAATCACTAAAACTGATGATTTGTCTTCCTCCCCCCTCCCCCACGAACCCTTGAAAATTTATAAATTATTACTTTGTCATATCTTACACTGTCCGACGTCTCCCTTCACCTGATGATTTGTCTTCTAAGAGGCTATAACATTGTGACAATTTCAACTTATCTATGAGTTCATTTGACAAACTATTTGAATGTCAACTAAGTTTCAGCCACCCTAAACAAAGGACTAGAACAAAGTCCTGTTCTTAAGGGTTATACTCTACTGGGGCGACAGAGAGTGGCGAGGGGGAAGACAATAAATAAGCAAAAAGAGCAAATGGTGATATAAATGAAGAAAAATAGCAGGATAGGTAAAGGTAAGCAATGGTAGTAAAAATGCGAATGTATGGTTATATACATGCACACATATATATGAACAGATAAATCAGGTGAGAAAAAGAGTCACATAGCTAACTATTTGGGTGCCATAAAGCTAATTATAGCTTTAATGCAGAGAAAACAGCCATGGTAAGTCAAAAAGGTAAGCTTACACCGAACCTTGCAAGCCATTGAAAGGAGTTTGAAGTTTGTTGAAGGGGATGGAAGTTATTAGAAGATTCTGCACAAAAGAATGATATAATCTGATTTCCATTTTTAAAAGATCACTCTGCTGCATGTGGAGAAAGACTGAGGAAGGCAAACATGGAAGCTGGGAGAACAATTAGGAGGCTATTGCAACAATGCAGAGCTCAGGGATGCTGTTGGCTTAGACCAAAAGAGTCAAGGTAGAAATGCTAAGAAGCAGGCAAACATTAGATATATTTGACGATAAGCAGAGCAACAGGAGTTCCTCCCCCAGAAAATTGTGGATGAAAGGCAAAGAGAGGTGCTAAAAATTAACCCAGTAATTTTTGCCTAGTCAGTGGAAGAGGAACTCTTTTATACAAAAGAATTTTAGAAATTCAAAATAAACACTAAAAAATGTAGAAAAGCTGCTCTATTAATAATGCAGCTAAACACCGTCCTTGTATTTAAGGGATACATTTTCTTAAACAGAAATATTTTGTCTCATACAGAGATTTTTCTTCTAATGAATATAGGCATAACTGCAAAGCAATCTAAATAAAGAAATGTCGAGAGGTATGTTGTAGAGAAATAGAACTAGTGATATTTGCTGCCACACAGGTCCATTAATGGCTTAATTCTCCTCAAAACAAATCTTACCAATTTGAAGTTAATCTTAATCATTTGTTTCAGTGCTTTAAATCCCCATTCTCCTTTTTCACCTTCAAGTTCCAAGACCTTAAGAGAGAAGAAGTTTAGTTCAAATTGAATACTAATATGCCATTTTCCAATGACAACTCTTGATAGTTACATAATTTCATGTCAACTTGAAGATATATAAAAGTGTAGGGGTGGAGTCTAGCCTATCAGTCAGGTCACAGCCTGATGGTGCCTCTTTGTGGGCGTGACCTTTTCATAAGGAGGGTCCTGGGAAACCACCCCCACCCCCACCCTCTGCCATCACTTTCCTGCTGGCTGACTCTGGTTTCTGCAGACCTTGTGATGTGGCCACTGCCTATGCACCCACTGGCCTATGATCTTCCTGCCTTGTGCATCATTGCATGTGGCTGAATGCGTCTGAAGAGGGACTTCTAGTCTAGTATCAGACTTAAGGACTAGTACTGGACTTATGGACTTGATCTGGACTGGGCTGGGATGTTTGCTTCATATAGAATTACTTCTTGACATAAAGCTTTCTTACACGTATGAGTGTCACTGGATTTGTTTCTCTAGTCAACCTGACCTAACACAACAATTAATGTCTAGGTTTTGAATTAATTTTACATCACATGCCCACAAGACATTTCTGGGATATAAAATCACTAGAGATTTTTCCCCATCTAAAATACTGTTTAAAAACGAAAACAAAAACCCACAACTTTAAGGCAGAATCAATTGGTGAAAAACATGAACCTTTTGGAAACTGCTTAACGCTGCTTTTGGGTCATCTTCTTTCAATGCTTTGGAATTATAGTACTGATTTTCCAAATCCACATTTGGTTCAGAGTTACTATCTTCAGAGTATTCCTGTGTATTGAAAAGAGAAATGAAAATGAAAAAAAGAAAAAGAAACCCACACATCATACTGTAAAGAGTGGCTGTTGTTAACATGGGAAAACCACACAATTACACAAAACAAGGCAATCTTGAACACATAAGTAAAATGCCAGTGATATTAACCATTATGAAAAACATTAAGTGGGTAGAACAGAACGACATTTTTCGTATCAAAACTCCAATTCCTATACAATGAACACAAACAAAGGCCAAGAGTGAATACAGGCTAATACCCCCAATTCTAGTTAACCTCTTGTTGGGCATGGAACTTGAGAAAAACCTAATTATTTACCTTTAGTTCTGGAACCTCATTTTCTCCATTTCCTAAATCCCAATTTCAATATTCTAGCCTGGCCTACATACCTGAGATGACAGTCCACAAATGATAAAGAGGTTTACTGCTTACTATACCATTTCATTTTTGTAAATGAAGTGTCCTGTATAACTCACACAGGGAATTAACACTCGAGAGGGTTAGTGTGAAAGCAACATAATGTTTGTATAAAATATGGACATTGTAAGTTAGTAGGAATATTTTCCTTTATGTGCATTACTTAACAGCTGCTTAACTATATTAACATACCTTAATAGTTTTATAACAAATGAGAAAAAGCAAAACAAAATGGATTTATAAAATTTTATGACATTTCTATTGCATACATTTAATTCTTAGCGAAAACCAGTATTGAACAATAAGGCAGAAGAGAAATACAGAATAAAACAATTATTTTGTAGAGCTGTGTAAACATGAATTTAATAAAGCTCCAAGATATTCACTCTAATAATGAAGATTACAAAATATAAATGTATAATTTTGGAAATAAAAATATAGGTAAGAAAGCTATACCCACACACACGGAGCAGAACAAAAAAATCATTATTTTAGGAACACACAAGATAATTTCCTTCTCAATAGCAGTCATTAAAAGGGCAAATTTTTGTCAAGAACAGTTTTCCAGAAATAAACACAAAAATATAAGAACAGTACTACATTCATATTTGTAAACCTAAATACAATGAGCAGACTTTCTGACAGATTTGTATGAAAATTTTGTGAAGGATCATAAAGGCCTAAGAGAATAAGAGAGAGATACACAGAGTGGTTCAGTGTAAGGCAGCTTGAAACCAGGCCACGTTATAACTGAAATAGTGCCTTTGCGCCCTCTGGAGGCGTTTTGCTTGTGTGAGACAGGAAGGGGAGGCACTCATGGAAGACTAGAGTTCAGTTATGTTTAACATGGAATTCCCTGGGAACTTTTCTTTTAACATATGAAATACAACTCGAGGCAGTAAATAAATTTCATAATCACTTAATTACTTCTTAACCCCTGTACTTTAACTCTGACTACAATGAAACTGAGCAAGCTAAAAAATAATTAAGAAACCACTGGACACAAAATAATGGTGTTATAAGTGATGGTGTCTGAAATGGATCCTGAAAATGGGAGTTTATCCGCTACATGAAATGAGTAAGTCTTAAAGTACCTATATATAATAATCTATAAAAGCACATGCAGGAGGTAACTGAAGCTTGCTATTGCTTTCTATTACTGGCATATAAAACTCTCCATTTATTTGACTTCAAAATGAGTTCCAAGCAAATCCACCTCTCCCCGGCACTAGTTTAGCCCACACAGAGACATTTTCATTTCTCTACAGATCAGCCGGTTCCTACTCATTTCTAACCTTCAAGGTCCAATCTTCTTGGGGTAAATAATTTTTGTAAAATGTACATTATTTCATGATCGCCCTCAAAAGCGAGCTCTTTAAGTTAAACAAGCTAACACAAAAACTATCAAAATCTGAGCTCTAGCAAATGTGTTCAATCTTGTCTCTGTCGAGCTCCCCTCCTCCTCCTCACTCACTCTGCTGCAGCCAGCCTCGCCTGGCCTGCCTTACCTTCTGAATGACCCAACTCTGCCATGTTTACACGACAGCCCCTCTATCTGGGAACTATCGCACACCTTTCAAATCTCAGATCATTTCTTCAGGGAAGTTGGTTAAATTTTCAAAGTGTCCTAGAGTAAAGAATCACAGCTTCACAACCTACTCTACAACTTTGGAAATGTGGAATACTTTTCCTACCTGTCTTATTTTGGGTCTCTTTGGTTGTTATGTGCTGAAATCAACTCAATGGCAGTGAGTGAGTTTTGGTCTACAACAGATTAGAAGCAGATCAGGATATGAGTGGGGAGTACAAGCAGAGATATGCATGGCAGTAGAAGGTGAAGAGTTGCCACCAAAGGGTAAACAGAAAATGATATGTAAGGACTTAAAATGCAAGTAACCTCAACTATCTGGAAATTATGGTCAATTATAACCCTGCTGAAAACAATCATTTACATTTCCTGCTATGTCTATCACATTGTCCTGTCCACACAACCACTGATTACAGTACAAAACTGTCTACCTGCAATATATGGGACCTGGCCTGCTCTAGATAACACAGTCATTTTTAAGCTTTAGCTGTTTTAACAAAACAAAAATAACAATCGAGACAAGATTTGACGCACTATTTATTATACAGAAAACAAAAAAATGGCCCCATACAATGGACCCCACCTTTTTCAATTCTCAGCAAGCTGAGGCTCATTTGGTCCATGCCAAAACTTCGGGATCATAATCAGTCACCTGAAACTAATGTGCACGAACTGTTGAAAGGAAAAGTGATTGGTTCTACAAACCTTCACTCAAACCATAATAAAGGCTTTGTTTTGTTTTGTTATTAAGACAGATTTTTAGGCATTTATTGTGATTTAGGTAAAGTTTTAGAGCAGACAATCAGGTTTCTTTTCCTTTTTAAAAATTTTTCCATCAGCTTGACATTCAACATTTTATACACTTTTCTGTTTTAATTCATCCATTCCAATCACTCAATGTACCATCACTACGCCTCCTTCCTCCCAGTGTTTGTTTCCATTCCTCCTCCTTTCCTAACCTTCTTGATCTTAAACAGCTGATCGTTCTAACCGGGGTCAACTCAAGTTTCAGACCCAAAGGACTGCTCTGAGCCCACTAGTTTGTGGGTCCCACCAGGGTCCATCCAACCAATAAATTCTGATCTCTTTTATGACTTTGAATTCTACTCCACATCTCCCTCCCACTCTATACCCAGAACTTTCTATGACATTTTCTTCAGAGCATTTGGTAGTAGCAGGTGGAGGCTGCCTGCTTTACATACAGGCAAAAGTGCAGCTTACACCTGATACTCAACCCACTCATTGCCATCCAGTCAATGCCGGCTCAGAGCAAGCCTATAGGTTCAGGTAGAACTGCCCCTGTGCGTTTCCAAGCCTGTACCTCTTTTACAGAAATGGAAAGCTCCATCTTTCTTCTGCTGGATGAGGCTTTCTACTCCAGAAAAGATTGTCTCGGAAACTCACAGGGGCAGTCTGGTTTTGGTCTGGACACACGAGAGAGAGGTGGGCCATGTCCCATTAATCTTAAAATTCAGCCATAATCTAAGTCCTAGGTAGCCATTTGTGGTTTAGCCACTCACAACTATCTAAACTTTACGGAATTCCATTCTAATGGTGTAAATTAGACCATCCTTTTATTTGTCCATCATAAGTCACAGACCTGGGTTCTAGTTCTAACACTCTCAACAATCTGTCCTATATATTTAAGTGAGCCACCCAATGATATACCTCTCTGTGAAGTTTGAGAGTGAAACCCCAGGGGAAATTTCTATTTCCCACTAAAGGTAACATGAGTTCATTCTAAGATTTAATATATAAATTCACTTTATTGGACATCCAAAATTTACGAGATCATTTTCATTACCCTTGTTTGTACTACTTCATGTTAACTTTACAGAGTACACCGAAGAAATAATTCAATAGGCCTTTTTGTAGACCCACCAAGACTTATACCCCAAATCAATAAATTCTGTGGAATAGTAACTTTAGTGGGCAATAGAATTATTCCAATGGTACCCCTGTAGGTTAGTAACACTTCCAAACACTTCACAGTGCCCATTTTATTAAGGTCAGGTGTTCTTAATCTACAAAAGTGGGATCTAGTTTGAAGATCTAATGTATTTAACAAACCTGGCTCTGAATATATTTTTCAACTAAACCCATTCAAAAGACAAAGCCTGGCTAACAGCGTAAGTTGTTAAACAAAGAACAACCCCCAAAGCTGCACAGTTTCTAACAGTGAAACACTGAAAACAGGCCAAGTGCATATCAATAAACATAGTACACATATACAATCAGTGAGCAATGAGTAGGTAATTTAATACTTACATAATCACCTCTAAGAAAAATAAAACGCAAAATATAGAACACTATGTAGATGTCTACATTATGCTTTTTAAAGAAAAGGATGTGAGTCTTTATAAATGCCTATGGGGAGAAAAGGGAACTGGGCAGACGGGCAATAAGGAACTTTCATTGTATACATTTTTATAATTTTGTTTTGGATCATGGGCATGCATTACCTATTTACATAGCTAGCTTAATCATGCTTCAGGTTCCAAGGACAAGTTTGTAAAAGGAAGTCTTAAAATTTTTTTGAGCAGTGGCAATTACTGTTGAGTGCCCAAGACCAAATGAAAGTAACTGTTCTCTGCACACTGCAGCTCTTTGCCTCCTGCCATAAAAATAATAGAAGTTCACTGTTTGGAAGAAGTAAAATTTAAAAACAAGACTGAAAAAAAAAAAAGATAGAAATAATTCATAATTTACGTCCAGGCCTTTTACCTGTATTTTCTCACCCAACAAATAAGGCTTCCATGGTCTTGCGTATTTTTAAACCTACATTTGTAGTAGACAGGTATTCACTGGATAGAGCCCTGGTGACTCATGCTTCCCCTCCTGTGGCCCTGGTGTGCATTCTCATTACAATGCCTCATCCACAGAGGACCAGCAAGCACCTCCCTCTACAGTGAGTGGTGTACAGAAAGGCACACAGACCTCAGTTGGGCCAATAGAAGTTTGGGCTTATGATACTTGGATGATGGCTCGTTA